ATATATTTTTTCACATATTTATTGGTCATTTTTATTCCTTCTTTATGCATATCCTCATATTCTGTGCTCGTTTTTTAAAATCATGTTTTCATGGGTTTCTTCTTGTAGAAAAAAGAATGAAACTTCTAGTCAAAGCCATTGAAACATTTTCCTTGTTGGTTGTTTTTAAATTTTGAATGTTCTGTTTTAATATATCTAGAAGTCTTAAGTTTTTATATATTGAAATCTATCAGTTTGTCTTTCAGATTCTGCTTTTACTCATATTTTTAAAGAATCCTTTTCCATTGTAAAATCAGAAATGTTTACTTATATTTTCCTCTAGTTCTATATTTTTATGCTTGTCTTCACACTTAAATATTATTAATTTGAAAAATATTTTGGTGTATGGTGTATGGTAGACTACACTTTACATCTAAATAATGACAGCAACTAAATATTTGAGGTAAATAATCTTCAAATATAAAAGTACCAATATATCATTTGTTGTTTCACTTTTCTTAAATTTATTCCATGGAAGGTAGGAGAAGTTTTCCTGATTGGTTTGTTATTCAAGGTGTGATGTTTAAAAATCCATTTTTATAAGCAACTTTTAATCTAAATTATCTTTTTTTTTTTTTTTTTCCCCATCTGAGGGTGTTGGTACTATGACTAAGATTAGATGTTTCTATGGCTGCAGATTGCCTTTTTTTTTTTTTTTTTTTTTTTTAAGGAAAGGAGCCTGCCTTTATCTTTTAAGTCCTGATACAAAAGACCTAGCAACTGGCTCACTGTGTCCTATAAATGCATTTCACTGACACTTTGTAGTGTATATTCAAACAGGAAGTGGAGAACCAGGAACTGAAAAAAAAAAAAGTCACCCTAAATCTGCTTTTCAGAGATTAATACCAACAAAAAGGACCATGACAGTTCTTTACTTTTTCTTTGAATTGCAATCTTTTATGTTCCAAACACATAGAGAAGGGAAAAGAAATTTCAGGCCTTATGGGGACTTTTCAGATGAAAAGTTTTTAGAGGACTCTGGTGCAGAGCAGCTTAATGAGGTGAAAAGCATTTAGGCCATCTCTGAAGACCAGAATGTGGCAATGATTTAGAGGTTGGGAGTCTTTTAGAAGATTTACATAAGAGACCTTAGGGCTAATACTGTCCCATTACTGCAGCACTATCTTAGTCTAAGTGGACCAAACAGTTTGATGCTTCTGTTTCGGATCTGTAGGCCTGATGGTAAATGGACTACCCTATGTGTTCTTCAGAGTGTAAGGAACTTTATGGAAATGATAGTTCAGTTTAAATTTGACAAATAGGAATTGTCAAAAGATGTGTTGGTACATTTGCAAGCTTTTTATACATATTTATAATGTGAGTGTCTAATGTGCACATAATATCAAGAAATAGAACTAGGAGCAATGAGTAGTGGCTACTCCAATTGATTTTTTTTTTCTCCTAAATATCATTTCCATCCATCCCACCTATTCATTTATGTAACTACTGTTTCAGTTTAGTCCAGAGGTCAGCAAACCTTTTCTGTAAAGGGCTAGATACTATTTTAGGCGTGTAGGCCATATGGTCTTTGTGGCAGTTATTTAACTTGCTGTATAGCATAGATGCAGCTATAGACAGCATGTGAACAAATTGCCATGGCTGTATTCCAATAGATTTTTACTTATAAAAAGAGCTGTTAGGCTGGTTTAGGCCTATGGGCTATAGTTTGCTGACTCCTGATTTAGACCGTTAGCATCCCTCATCTGGGTTGTTGTAATGATTTCTCTCCCTTATGATCACTTCCTTTCAGTTCCATAAACATTTATTGTTTTAGGCACTTAGGTTTCTGTCCTTGAAGAGCTGTTAGTCCAGAGGAAACACAGATGAGAAAGCTCATAAAGTTAATATAATGAGGTGGGGTTGCTCTCTGCATTGCTTCCAGGATGGGTTTTACACAGGAGGTGATCATTTCCCTTTTCTGCAAAAATATATTTAGTGTTATCTTATATCATAAGTCCTTGATGAGGCATGTAGGTCTTTCATTATCTGGCTATCTGGCCTATAACCATCTTCCTAGACCATCTTTTTCACTTGATACTTTCACATCTTCAGTTTAACTACAATAAATCTTACTAATAGGTATGGCAACAATACATACCATTATGCTCTTTTATACTCTGGGCCTTTGCATATTCTGTTCTGGAATGACCTCCCTTTATTCCCCCACATCCAACAAGAGGAAGACTTTTCTATCCAAGCTATCCAAGGATTGTAATGGGCTGCCTTGTTAGGTGGAGAAGGGGGTATGATGAGTTCTTTCTTACTATAAGTATCCAAGCATGAGTTGGCTAAACACTTGACAGATATATCAGATGTTATTGGAGCTTTGCCCAGATTCCCTTTAGCAGGCTTTGTATTCATATTCTGGCTACTATAGGTCTTGGCTGTTAACAGCATGTATCTGGATCCTTTTTCTGAGGATTTCCAGGGAGAGCCACCTTGCCTGGAGATGCCAGAAAATACCCTTCCTTTCTTCCCTTTTCCCCCTCATCCCTAGCTTACAGCCAGTGACTAAACTGATGTGGGGGTGTAATAGCCCAGTCCCTTTGCCTCTGGGTGGAACAAACTCTGTGGTGTGATTCCTGTACCAGGGATCCCCAGGGGATCAGGCTGAGACTAGAATTCTGAAACCACATCTATATTAATTGAGAATTTCCTCAATAAGTTACTTGCAAAAGAATACTTAGAAGGATAGTGAGATTGAATAATTTTTAAGATCTCTTATTAGTCTGCATGATTTTGAATATGAAAGAAAATCATACTCCAGTTCTCTATCACTGATTGTGTTACCTTAGGCAACTTTTGTGTTTCTCAATTTCCTCATCATAAATTTGGGATAATAATAGTATCGACCTTAAAGAGTTACAAAAATTAAAAGAGATAATGAATATAAATTTTTAGCACAATGTCTGGTGCATAAAATATACTCAGTAACATTAGATAGTTTTATTATCTTTACCATCAATATTATTATATTTCCCCAAAAGAGAAAATATGAAGGCAGTGCTTTTATGTATTTTAATGCAATAAAAAAAGTTTCTCTAATAAAGTAATGGGAACCATGAAAAATCCATGTACTTGATGAACATATTTGATTTCTCCATTGAGAATGGCTTTGTCTGTGTACTTTTAGCCTAGCACATAGCTGATGTCTATTAAATATTTGTTGATGAATATAAAGACATTGTATTAAAAAGAGATTTGAATTTTGGGTGGTCAATAAGTCTTAAACAAAAGATTAAACAAAAAGTAATTGAATTTAAGAAGTTAGAAAGAGATTTCCATTATTTGTATAAAGAACAGTCCATTCTAATATTTCTATTCTAGTTATGTTATACATATGACCTATAAGTCATAGATTTTGCCATCGTCTAAATCACATTTCCCTTGAATGCCCAAATAATAACAGTCTGATGCTCAAACCCACTTGAAATCAGAAGTCCTGTCCTTTTGCCAGATTCCCAACCATAGTCATTTCTTGGAATCTTTGAGGAACTTGCTCACATGTTACACAAAGCTGTTCTGGATATTGTTTGTGATTTCATCCAGTTACTTGTGAGCCTTTGCTCCAGTTTTTTTGCAAATTACTTACTGGGATCTTGAGAATGGTTCTTCCTATGCCACTATTCTCCCCTCAACTGCTGTGTTCAGCTCAGGTTTTTGAAGGTTTAGGGATGAGAAAAGAATGAACAATTGTGGTAGATTGTATTTTCCTAAGAAGGCACACTATCCCCAGAGATGGCCAAATCATCCCACATGCTCTTCTTACAAAGTGATTGTATTGGTTTTCTGTTTCTGTGTACTAATTTACCAGAAATTTAGTGGTTTAAACAACACTAATGTATTCTCTCCATTTCTGTTGGTCAAAAGTCCAGGCTCAGGCATAGCTTAGCTGGGTTTTCTGAGGGTCTCAGTAAGTTACAGTCACGGTGTTGACTGTGCTGCCTGCTCATCTGGAGGTTTTTCCACAAGTGGAAAGGATCTACTTCCAAACTTGTTCAGGTTTTTTCACACTGCCTTACAACCGTAGCACTGAGGCCTTCAGCTCCTACCAGGTGACTGCGGTTACTTGCCATGTGGACCTACCCATAGGCAGTTTACATCATAGCAATTTGTTTCTTCAAGGCCAGCAGGATAATCTCTTTCCAGCTTGCCAAGATCAAGTCTCATCTAGCATAACATAATCCTGGGAATTAGATCCAATCACCTTTGCTATAAAACGTATTAGTCTGCTCAAGCTGTCATAACAAAATATTATAGACTGGGTAACTTAGATAATAGAAACTTATTTTCTCACAGTTCTGGACTCTGGGAGTCCAAGATCAGGTTGACTGCATGGTCATGTCTGGTAAGGATTCTCTTCCTGGCTGTGTCCTCACATGGCTGAGAAGGAAAGAGCAAGTTCCCTGGTGTTTCTTCTTATAAGGGTACTAATCCCATCACAAGGGCCCCACCCTAGTACCTACTTACTTCCCAAATGCCCATCTCCAAATACTATCACATTGCAGATTAGGGCTTCAACATATGAATTTGGGGGAGGGAGGCACAAACATTTGTCCATAACATATTTAAGCAGTACTTTCTGTGGAGCAACATAATACCACCTTTGCCCTATACCATAATCTAATCAAAGGAGTGACATTCTGCCACCTTTGCCATATCCTGTTGGTGAGAAGCAAGTCACAGGATTTGCACTCAAGGGGAGGGAATCATACAAGCACATGTCTGATTGGGGCTACCATAGAGTGTGTCCATTATGGTGATATTGACACATTCTTACCTCAAGAGGCAAGGTCCATTATGTATGTTCCACTTGAATATGAGTCCTCTTCTTTTTGACTTGCTTTTATTACATTAGAACATAGTAAAACTGATGCTATGTGACTTCTGAAGTTAAGTCATAGATGATGATTGGCCTCTCTCTTTCTCTCTCTCTGTCCCACCCCATCTTTATCTCTCAGGACATGTGCTTTTGGAGGGACTTAATGAGGAGACCTATTTGGAGAGGAGAGGCTACCAGCCAATAGTTATCATCAAATGCCTGACATGTAAGTACACCAGCCTTTAGATGATTCTAGTTTCCTGGCCTTGAGTCTTCCATCTGAGACCAAAGACATCAGAAAGCATAGACAAGTCATCTCTACTGTGGTCTATTTGAATTCCTGATGTATAAAAACATGAACAAAATAAATGGTTGTTTCTTGCCACTAAGCATGGAATAATCTGTGGTAATAGTAACTGGAATAACAATGAGGAAAAATAATTAAAAACTAGCTAATCTATAATAATATATGTGATATATCAGACTCATATACGAAGACTTTCCATGAGAAGACTCATGGCTGGCTATTTCTCTCCTTAGTTTTTGGCTTTCTACCGTGTTGTAGAGACAGTTGGAATCCCTTGAGGAGGTCCTTCCACTTCCTCCTTGAAGTTCAGGCTCAACTTTTCAGGCTCTCAAAAGGCAAAACAACATTCTGAAGAAGATACATATTTTGGATATTTGTAGTATCACCAGCAATTAATACATAGGCTACAGACATTTCATGAGGAGCACTTAAGCACCTTAATATCTCACATCTTTCCATGACTTTATGGGTTCTTTGCTTATTTTTGCCTAGCCAAATTATGTGTTAAGTTGTTTTATCCTAAAACAAAGACCCAATCTTCTCTTAGAGGTAAATCAAATCCTTAATATCTAGGGAATGAGAAAAACTACTGCTTTAAAAAAGGCATTTTTTCTCATGTCTCAAGATTTGAAGGTCAAAGCTCAAACTAAAGACCTGATAATTTAATTTCTATTGTATTCAAGAGGATGGATTTGGAAGATATCAATAAATCATTTCCCTTTCATGTAAAGAAACTAAACTTTCTTTTTTTTGCTATCAATTCTTAGTAACAGGGAGAAGTAGGGTATGTTCAGAAAGCTTATCTTATTCTATATTAAGAAAATAAATTCCTGAATCTTCGGAATGTAATACTACCCCCAAATTAAGAGGAAGTTATGTCCCTTGTAATAAGAATAATGAAATTCAGCAAACAATCCATATTCTTCTATTAAATTACTCCTGAAAGGCATTTGCCATTGGCACAGCTTTAAATATAAAATGTAGTTTCCTGGGAATTTTTCTTTATTTTTTTAGTAGTGGATTGTCACCTCATCATGTGTCTCTCAGACCATATTTTTGAGTAGTTTCTGAAACCACAGAAAGTATTGTTTAAATTGTGTGCCCTTGTTTATTGTACTCTCAAAAACAGGAACTCAGGGGCAGCTGGAAGGAAAGAAAAGAAAAAACAACCCATGTATCTTCTATTCTGTTAAAGCACTGGGTCATCTCTTTTTGGCAACAATAATGCTATCTGGTCAGTGAGAACGATGAGGTGGTAAACACACACACACACACACACACAGTGGAATATTATTCAGTTGTCAAAAAGAATGAAATCTTGCCATTTGCAATGACGTGAATGAAACTACAGTGTATTATGCTAAGTGAAATGAGTCATAGAAAGAAAAATACCATATGATATCACTCATATGTGGAATTTAAGAAAGAAAACAGATAGACATTGGGGAGGGTATGTGCTATGGTGAGCACTGTGAATTGTATAAGACTGTTGAATCACAGACCTGTACCTCTGAAACAAATAATACATTATATGTTAAAAAAAAAAAAAGAGGATAGTAGGAAGGGAAAAATGAAGGGGGAGAATTGGAGGGGGAGACAAACCATGAGAGACTATGGACTCTGAGAAACAAACTGAGGGTTCTAGAGGGGAGGGGGGTGAGGGGTGGGTTAGCCTGGTGATTGGTATTAAAGAGGGCACGTACTGCATGGAGCACTGGGTGTTATATGCAAACAATGAATCATGGAACACTACATCAAAAACTAATGAAGTAATGTATGGTGATTAACATAACATAATAAAAAAATAAAAAAAAAGAAAACAGATGAACATATGGGAAGGGGGAAAAGAAAAAAAAGAAAGAGGGAAACAAGCCGTAAGTGACTCTTCACAATAGAGAATAAACTGAGGGTTGATGGAGGGAGATGGGGGATTGATGGGCTAGATGATGGCACTTGTTCTGATAAGCACTGGGTGTTGTATGTAAGTGATGAATCACTGAATTGTATTCCACAAACCAATATTGCACTGTATGTTAACTAATGAAATTTAAATTTAAAAAAAAGAAAAAAAGAAATGGGTTTAATAAATATCCTATGTGACACTAGTGCCTAGCCAGATTTACTCAAGGGACTAATGCTCAGAGCTTGAAAACCTTTGCAGGACTCATTAATATGCATTTGATGGAGAGATGCCCAGTGACTTTATGATGCGCATAGGGAATTTGCATATTATGGAGTTAAGAGGCTGTCCTCAAGGAATTACAGCTTTGTCCTGCTCTTCAATATTGCCTTCCCCAGAGGGTCACTGCTGAAGAGGACTTTCTAGGCTTGCCGTCCTCTTTTGCTTTTGTGGAGTGTGAGCCATTTTGATTATGCAGTCATCTTGTTTCCAAGAGACTTCTGCATTTGCTTATTAGGAAAACTACAATCCTCTTCTGAGTATTATTAGCCCTATCATTTATCCAAAAAAAAAAAAAATGAGATTCTGACCAGTCCAAACACAGTAGTCCTTACGTAAGGGTGGAGTTGTGACTTGCATCACAATAAAGAATAGCATTGAGTATGCTTGCTGCAGATGATGTCTCACAAAGAATCTGTACTTATAAATCTTAAATTTCCATTTTATCAACCCATCTGTAAATTTTGCCTATAGAGCATTTTTACCAGTGGAGTACAGTGGTGGCAGTGGTGGTCAGGAGGATAGCATCCTTTCCATTTTTTAATGCACTAGATTTTTAATTAATCTGAAGATTGTTGAGAGACAGGTTTAAGATTTTTACAAATGCAAAGCTGTTTTAACAGATTAGCCAAAATTAGTCTTCTACAGAAAATTTTTATTATTAAGAAGAAAATCTCACTCTTTTTCATCACTTGGAAATAAACTTTGTCCTTTGTAGGAGAAAAGTCTGGTGTAATTCCAGGATTTTATTTTTCCTGCTTTCCTCCTTCCCATGTGGTCATTTTTTACTCAAGCTTCAATATGCCATGTATAGTCATCCCTTCATTTATACTTTCTCTCATTTCTCTAGAGGGTTAATTGCTTCTTCTTAAATTCTTACATATTCTGTTTGGAGGGACCAATCTCCATTATAGTGCTTATAATGTTTTTCTCAATAAATTTGAACCTAAATATCAAAGACTATGTCTTTTTTCCACATTTCTATAGCTAGCACCTAGCATAATGGTAAGTCCTTTTTAAATGTTTCTTATATAATAAAAGTCCGTCAGTGTAAAAGACTGACAGATTATTACCCCCCTGACACAGAAGTTTCTCCTATAACATCTACCCTTTTATAGTGGATTTCCATGCCCAAGTATGATTCATTTCAATTTTTTCTCAGTATGGTTAGAATTTTTTTTCTGTGTACATTGTTGTTTTCTTATCTATATATAATTTACTGGGAGCACAATTAATATCAAAATGAGTAATTAGGATGATGTTCACTAATGATGTTCAATGATCCCATTTCCACCCCGCCTTTATTTTTGGTCCGGATGGACCTTGTCTTTATCACGTAAATACTGTAAATACTGTAAAATCCCCCTAGAAGAGGATATTGGAAGAGAAGGCAGGTACTCCTATATTTCTTGACCTAGAAGAGAAGGAATAGGCTAAAGTTGAATGTTTTCTTTGGACATTGCATAGTGTACTGTATTATCATCAATATTGCAGACATAAAGTGATCATCTCTTCAAGAAATAATGCAGCATATTGTGTTATCTAGCAACTAAGCATTTCATTAAACTTTGTAGACAACTCTTTAGTAATCAGATGTTTAAATGAATTTAGGTCCATGTAAAAGATGTCAGGCATTTATCATCTCTTACCCTCTCTGTTGCTCCAAATATTGATCTAAAATACAAAGTAATATAATTTTTTAAAAAGGATTGAGATTTAGGGTAAATCTATCGCTAAATTTTGTATTTCTCTATGAAAAGAATGATATTTCATAAGAATCCACCTTAATTTTTGTTTTGGTTTAAGCTGTAGTAAGACTTCCCTGCTCATGATTTATTTTGCTTAGGTTTTACATTCCATGTCTTAGTGGTTTTCTATATCATTTATTATCTGTATTACACACTTGATATTTATATTGTGTCTAAATCAATAAACAATGATTGTTCCATTTTGTTGAAGGTTTACTTTACATATGTAGTCCTCCCCAACTAGACTGTAAACTCCTTTTTTTAAAATATTTTTTATTATTATATTATGTTAATCACCATGCATTACATCATTAGTTTTTGATGTAGTGTTCCATGATTCATTGTTTGTGCATAACACCCAGTGCTCCATGCAGAACGTGCCCTCTTTAATACCCATCACCAGGCTAACCCATCCTCCCATCCCCCTCCCCTCTAGAACCCTGTTTGTTTCTCAGAGTCCATAGTCTCTCATGGTTCGTCTCCCCCTCCGATTTCCCCCCTTCATTCTTCCCCTCCTGCTATCCCCTAAAAAAAAAAAAAAAAAAAGAAGAAGAAGAAGAAGATAGTAGACTGTAAACTCCTTTTGAGAACAGGAATACAGATTCTATTTGTTTATATTCTCAGCAGTGCTTAATATAATGTCTGTGCAAAGCAAAAATTCAATAAATATTTGATTTATTCACCTCATCTTCTAAATAGGGTTTTAAGTCAGATGTGCTATCTTAAATGTTATTCTTTATTTCTTTTTAAAAAGAATCATTTAGGATTGAGGTTTTTTTTTTTTTTTTTCCTGCTAGAACATATAATGTAATGGTATATGGGAATGGGGCCACGTGATGGTTAAAGCAGTCTCTGGAGTTCAGCTACTTGGGTTTGCGTCCTAGCTCTACCATTTGCCAGCTGTGCAAATATTTTGCTGAACGAATTATTTACCTCTTGGTTCCTTAGTTTTTTCACCTATAAAGTGGGGATAGTAATAGTACCTATCCATG